ATTTTTTCAACAGAACTGCATGGTCGCACTCATTTTTCTGAAGCAACAGGTCACACTTCACCTACATTTTATGTACCATGCCGATAATCACAATATAATCCCTTTCTTCAAAAATTTCTTTCCATTTGAGAGAAAATTGCTGTAATGATAAGCAACAACCAGAGCGTGAGAGACTCTCCTCGTTTGTCAGCTGAATAAAAAATTTTTGTACCTGGCCTTCAGAATAAATTAATATTGCTTTTCTTACTTATGGACATGACTGCATTAGTAGTGTTTTACTTTTAATTGCATATAGCTGATAGTTAATCCGATATTGTCAGCAAAGCTATTATTCTTTAATTTTTACGAACTATCCAATTAAGGATTAATTTGGATAGTTTCAGATAGGGCTTTCCTTTACAAATAGGCAAACTGTCCAATTTAAGAAAAATAGGACAGCTGATCTGAGCCAGTCAAATGCCAGAAAATACAATAGGCAATGCAAACTAGCCAATCAGTGCAAAGTCCCTGTGACAACATGCCAAAAAAAGTTTCGCTGGCTGACAGCGGTCTCAGCGAACACTCTTGGCTTCTTGTTGTTGTGAATGTCATTTTCAAACTGATGAAAGTTTGTATCGGGAACAATCAACGCATAGATTCTTGAAAATGTACAAGCACTGAAACTTTGGACAAGAATAAGAAAACACTGATACTTGTGTTTAAATGTTGGCGTTACAAAACCAAACGGACAAAGTCTGCGGAAATTGTTTGAGATAACGAATAAAATGTTTATTTTCAAGAGTTTTTGTGTTTGCATATGCATTGTTGCTTTGTCTTCTTTGTACTTGAAATTGCAGTTTTTGCTGTAGCACCGTATGTATCACTTAGATCATTGAGGGAGTTTTCAAAATTTTAATTGGCAACAAAATGCCGAAGTATGAAAGAGCAATACTAGTTCTACATTTGTTTACTTGTAAAGAATAAGTTGAATGACACAATAAGAATAAACATTTTTTAGATCTTGCCATCTGTTCTTACTTCAACTACAAACAGTTCGAGTGTACAATATTTCGCCTCTGACAGCCAAATTGAATTTTGGCTGTCCTCGGAATTTTTTTCATCCAATTCTTTCCAAATTGGCAGCATGTAGTCCTACTACATATACTAACAGTTTCTATGGAAACTGTAAACACAAAAGACAGGTAACAGTCATTATAAAAGTTCTCCAGAAGCTCCTGTAGCTGACAAAAATCATTGCATAAATGCCACAGAGGCACTGGCTACTAAAACAAAATAACAAGGCTAGGCTTATGGCAGTGCCTGGTGGTCTGTGGTGCCTAATTTTTGCTCCTGGGCAGCCAGAAAACCTGGGCACACTAGCTGGATTTCACAAGTTCAGAGCACTTGGGTCTCCTCAGTTTTTCTTAGATCAGAGAAGAATCAATCTGTTCATTTAATGATCTTTGACACAGTTGAAGAGATCTGGGGTACAAAGTCTTTAGAATTCAGTATGTACAGGAAGACAGTGTCCTAGCTCTATGATCTAATATTTTCTGTACATAAGAAATGTTTTCTTTCTGACCATGCATTATTTTGATACAGATCAGCTCAGTCACTTGTAACGCGAATAAAGACAAACGAGAGATGAAGATATTTTAACTAACTATAAAATACGGAGTCTATCCTTACTTTGCGAGCTTTCTGATGCACGATCTTTCTTGTTTGTTAGCTTACATTGACTTCAAGCTTAATTGTACAAAAGTTACGAACTCGATGCTTCCATGCAGAAAAAAAAACCTTAGAAATTTACTCGCTATCAACAAAGCTAACATATACGCCACTGATGGTCTAAAATGCGATCTAGAAAGCCTTCTGTCATTTTGGATGTTGGCGAGAGGGACGAAATAAAAGCCTTATATTACCTTTAATGCCGCACGTAAGCTTACATTTTTTGTGACGAACCAAATTGAATATACAGAAGGTTAATACCAAATGCCTTCCATTTGTGAAAACCACTGAGGCCTTGATTTTTACGCCCGATAAATATCTAACTAGCTCCTTACTTACCCCACCATATCCACCAGGAGGTGGAGCCCCATAGCCTGGATAAGCCATACCTTTATAATGCAAAAGACAACAGGCGGAAATTTCTGTCGATATCAGCCCAGCTCAAAGCAAAGCAAGACGCTCGTTTTTAGCCAAGTAACCTGGCCTCATGGGAGTTTCGAA